AAATTTCTGAACTAAGGTCACATACCTTAACTACCTGTTGAAAGTGGGTTAACTAGGAATTGCACAAATAAAAGAAGAATTCATATTTGATGAATTATTTTACTGAATGATGATCATGGAAGAAAAGTGGAAAGGCTCTTTGCCTCCTGAAGCCTCACTGAATGAATTCAAATGTATTTAGAATCTGTAGGATTCTGATTTCACAGATTTATAAATGTAAATCATCTATTGCCGTTTATGATGACCACTTGTACACCTAAATTGTGCCTGAATTGTACCCCACATCTTTAAAATAAAACAAACAAAATGAAGATCTGCCAGTAACAAAAGCTAAAGAACCACAAAGAGCAATTTTTTTCTTCAAAAGTTCAGTACAGCATTTGAAGAAAAAAAGCCTTCCTTCTCCTGAAGCCTTCTTAGGACTTAACCTAAAAGTTAACCTTTATGCCATGACAGTGTACAATGAACTCACCAACATGGCATAACTGGGATTAATAATTAGTCAATAAGGGAACTGCTACAAGCAATCTACTTGAAAACCCACAATATTTTTTCTATGGCTATAACAATAATTCAGTAAACCTTGGAAAATATCCCAAGAGATCAAAGTACTAATGTTAAGGCTGATCCCAGATAACTGTACAAAATGCAGACATCACAGCCACTGCCCTGAATAGAAGACTTGTGGAACAGGAAATTCCAGCAGCTTTCAGGAAAGAGGACCAATATTATATTTAATTAATGCTGCTAATGAAATTAGAGCATTCTAATCAAACATAACACTAGAATAAAGTTTATCCTAACTACAATAGTACTGAGATGTGCATAGCCTGGTAAGGGCCAGATATTAAAAACCTCAGCTTTCTTATTTATTTACCTGGATGCAAATCTCAACTTTTCTATTTCTTTACCTAGGTAACAGTTTTCATTTCTATTTAACCTTCAGAATTTCAGTCACTAAAATATCAAATTTCTTTATATCTACAAGAAAATCTCTTAAATATTAATTTTTAAAGAGTCTCTAGCTACTGACTGCAGCACAACTATTATTATACAGTATATAAGTCACATTAATTTTATAGGCTTTATGAACAATGAGCTTTCAAATATTTCCAAGATAAAAAAATAAAGAATATGTGCCCAACCCAGCTCCCTAAGGAATTTTTATTACAGCTGCTATTGCAATTTAAAATTATATATATGTAATATATATATATACATACACACACACACACTTTTCTACCATTTCAAATTTAAAAGGTAATTTTTTAATAGATGTCTTATTCCCCTCCCCCCAAAATTTTGTGTGTATTTCAGTCATTTGTTTAAATTCAATAAAAAATTTTTTCCTTATCTTTCTCTGACTCAATTTAAATAATTACTTAGGGGTTCCTTTTTTTATTTTTCATTTAGAGATCACTTTTTAAAAACTACTAGTTGGGAATTATGCAAATGTATTTATAACCGTTTAGTACAGCTGTGTCAATATAGAAAAAAGTTTTCTGCTGACTTACCATACCTATCTTTCTATCTATCTATCTTTATTGAAAACATTTTGGTTTGAAGAAAAGTATATATAGCAAAGTTACAAATACAGATAGCAACTTAAAGAAACTTGACAAGGAATTTAATTATAATGTTCATCCCATAGATAAGGAATTGTAACTAAAGCAAGACAGCAAAATTTCTAAACCAAACCAAATGGTGCTGCTACCTCATTTCTGCATCATATTTTCATGAATAATGTAGGAAAGAGAAGAAATTTAACAAAGTACATAAAAAGACTTAGTTCACTCTTAGCTTTATTTTTTAAAATAATTAGGCCAAGTTTTAATTCAAAAAAAGTTCTTTGAAATGTATTGTGTGCTGACACGGTTACCAACAATTCTTTTTAGTGTCATAATAAAATATACTGTATTGGATAAACTGTTCCTATAGCCCACCTCCCAGCAACCTAACCTACACCTTCCCTGCCTAACTCATCCAACCAACTCACATCTTTATACTGTGATATTATTCCCCAAGTCAAAGTTTTAGAAAGAAATGGCAACTAAAAAATAAAAACTAAAGCTCCTTGGGATGGAGTATGTGAAAACATGTTAGCAACTACTAGACACAGAGGAAGTTTTCTGGTTTTTGTCTACAGCAGAAAACCTTTACAGACTCCAAGAAGTGTCAGACCCTCGATTTCATCCCTGTGTCTGTATCTCCCGTGAAGAGAGCAGTTATCTTTAATATTAATTAGATGGCCATTTGCATGGAGCAGAAATTAAGGGAATTTACCAAGCAGAATGAAACACAAGTGTTGCATTCTCAAATGCCCATATTTTCTTTCTGGTCTTCAAATCTGTATCACTGAGAAGTATAGGAGCTAACAACAGAAATAAAATAAGATAAAAATCTCTGTTTACCAAACTATTTAAGATGCCCTGACCAATTCTTTTTTCCAAAAGTACCTGTAATTTTGAGTAAACTCATTCCAATTATTTGTTTTCTTACTCATAAAATATATTCCTAATCCAGATTGTCACGCTTCTGTTGCTCATTGTTCTGCAGACTGAGAGGCTTTATATCTTGTTTTTGAAAGTATAAATATCATAAATGTGGACAATTTTGCCAGGTGGCCATTTAGGAAGGGATACCACAATGAATGATATTCTACTGTTTTTAGGTTCCAAAACAGGCTTACATTTGTGTGAATTCCACAAGAATATTCATATCATTAGCATTATGTGCTGGAACCTAACAGCTTGCTTTTGAATTTCAGCTCTAATATGGGAAAGATCCCAAAAGAGTAAATACTTTATCTTTCCCAGTCTTTTTTACCTCATTGATAACATAATACTTAGCTCACAATGTTGTAAGGATGAAATTCAAGATACTGCATATAACTTTTGCAACACCTAATAGTACTCAAGCATGCTTTAGCTGCAAGTATCAGAATTCCTGAGTGACAACATCTTAAACACATATAATAAGAAGGATGGAGCTATGTGGTTGCACACGTAGGCTCAGTGACGCAGCACTCTCGGGGTTGCATCTGTGTTTGTCTCTTGGCCTTCTTTTTTGTAAACTGACGATCATAAGATAGGTTTCATTAACTGAAAATATATCACATCCTTAGCTAAGAGAAGCTAGAAAAACTAGTATTTATCTCACTTTCGCAGCTTCTATAGTGAATACGCCCAAGAGAGAGGGTAAGGGGAATGGGTGTTGGAAAAAATTGTCAACATTGTCTACCATATTTCCTTTGATGAACTGTTAACATTATTTTAGTAACATTATTAAATTTCCCTATTACAAAATACTTTGTTTTTACTTGACATAGTGTACAATATTTTTCTCCTGGGATTATTTACTTTATCAGCTCCCATAAGCCTCTAACTCTAGTCTCAGTAGCAAGAGATAGTATGTGTGTTTTTTTGGGGGGGAGGGGGTTGTTTGTTTTTTTTTTGTTTTTTTTTTTTTTCACAAAAACTGGTTAGTCTGCCTTCTGTGAAACTTGCCCCAGGCATCAAAACAGCAGAGGAAGCACACCCTAGGATCACTCTAAGAAAACTAGAAACATACATATCCAACTAGTTTATTGAAAGCAATTATTTAAAATTATAATTGGGTAATATCCTCATGAATAAATGAAGTAATTTAAATGCAGTGTCTCTTTTAAATAACTACTCTGTAATTCGTTGAACATGGCAGATGTCCTGCCTGAATCTGTGAAACCTGATGCCTTGTCTCAAGTCTTGCTTCTGCTGCCTCAAACATATTTACTTCATCTTTATTGCCATCTTCTGAAAGATTTGCTTTTACATACAAATCAGTAATGCTAGGCCAATATAGCTCCTCTCTTAAAGGGATCTGAAAACTAAGGCTCTTTTAGTGTCTCACAGCACTGAAAAAAAATAGATCAAAGGCATGACATAACCACAGACCACCAAAGCCTGTGGAGGCTGTGCACCTCACAAAGCATGTCAGAAATGACTGGAAAGTCATTTGCCCAGAAAGCAACTCCCCATTTACAAGCAGAGCCCTGTATTTCCACTATCAGAGCTCCATTTTGATGGTTTAAAACTATGACCCATTTCAAAAGGCAGGTACCAATGAAAATAGTCATCTTTGAAACTGAGTTAATTCGTTGTACTTTAGTGTCAATGAGTATAGAGTGTTTTTCTATTATAAGTCTTAAACAGGGTGTAGAGGTGAAGAACACATGAAGTGTCAAGTCTTTGCCCTGCTGCCTAAAGGGCAGGCATGGGAATCCAAAATTTGGAACTGGTACTACTTAAGGGAAGAGAGACCAAGCTGTGAAAACAAAGAGAGAATGACTGGAAGGGCATGATAATGCAGGCCAGTAATCCCAGTACTTTGGCAGGCCAAGGTGGAAGGATTGTTTAAGTCCAGGAGTTTAAAATCAGCCTGGGCAGCATAGCGAGATTTTAAAATAAAAAAGCTGGACTTGGCGTGTGCCTGTAGTCTCAGCTACTCGGGAGGCTGAAACAGAAGGATCGCATGAGCCCAGAAGACTGAGGCAGCAGTGAGCCATGATCATGCCACTGCACTCCAGTGTGGGCAACAGAGTAAGATGCTGACCCAAAAAGAAAAAGAGAAGACTAATATGGCAACCAAGAAAGTATGGAGCTATGGTTTGTAAGATACTTACATCTGGGAATCTGATCCCAATCCACTAGTGTTCCATAAGACAAGCTGAGCATTTGTGGGAAATCCACTGTTGGCAATGGTCAAGCTTTAGGTCAAGGGCTGATAGCAAGTTTTAAAGAAGTCCATCAGCAAGGAATAGCACCCCAGCCACCTTATTAGAGCATAAAAGTAGGCTGCAGTCTGGGAGTCCAGGGCTATGAAGAAGAACACAAATGTTTATCCTCCGAGGGTTTTGAAAGCTTACTAAAGCTGTCAAGTACAGTGCATCTCAACTTTCTTGCATCTTGGTTCACAAAGAAGATGGTGGTATTTTCATCCTGGCAACATTGATGAAACTACTCATGGAGGAGGCTATCACCACTAGCACATCTGCCATCCTTCATCTCCACATGACTGATGAGAAGCTCCGATCCAGAGAAGAGGCCAGGCCTGTTTCTCTAAAGGGGTCTAAGAGCAGAGCTGGAGAGAAGGAAGTAAGAGGGTTCTAAGCTCAGACTTAGAGGATGAGTGAGAAACCTAGTTCTAACGTGGGCAGATAGCTCTTGCTACGCAAAAGGAAGCCGGAAAGAGGATACAGGATGAGAAGGAGCAGGGGGAAAGGATAGGAAGCAAGCTCATTGGGAATTCAGAAAACTAAGCATGTGTAATAATTGTGCCTAGGCTCAACTGCTGCAGTGTCCCCTCCCTTTTTTTAAAGAATGAAATCGCACTGTTCAAGTATTCATTCATAGAACAAATATTGAATCTGCACCATGAGATTAGCGTAGTTTCAGCACTACAAATGTGCCTACCAAGAAAACAACTGATTGAGCTTGAGTTCACTGGGAAAGCTTGACATTAAGCAATAAATCCAAATCTTTTCTTTTACTTTGTAATAATTACTAAATAGGAACAAAATAGGGTATTTGGTCTGAGAAAGACCAATAAGATCAAGTAGCCAGCTACTTTCAACAAAGAGATTTTAAAATAGCCTTTTTAAGGAAGTTATATTAAAGTATTACACAAAGATGCAACAGGAAAACATTAGCAACTCTTTTTAAATATTTTGCAATACAATCTTAAACTTTATTATATATAATACATACATACAGTATTGCATTTGTGCACATTATATGTGTAGTAATATACACAGATACATTACTATAGAGGAATTATTGGACAATGGGAAATGGCAAACAACTGAAGCCTATTTTCTTAAAAATTCCTTTTATGGCCGGGCACAGTGGCTCATGCCTGTAATTGTAGCACTTTGGGAGGCCGAGGTGAGAGGATTGCCTGAGCCTGCGGGTTTGGACCAGTCTGGGCAACTTGGTGAGACCTCATCTCTACAATAAAAATTTAAAAAAAAATTAGCTGGGCATGGTAGCATGTGTCTGTAGTTCCAGCTACTTGGAACACTGAGGCAGAAGGATCGCCTAAGTCCAGCAGGTCGAGGTTGGGGTGGTCGAGAGTATGCCATTGCCCTCCAGCCTGAGTGACAGAGTGAAATTCCAACAAACAAAAAATTGCTTTTACTATGAAATATCACACATCATTGCTAGATTCTTAATTACCTCTCTTCTCATATAGGATACTAGTTAATATTTCACACACACACATACACACACACACACACACACACACACACACACACACACACACACACTCAAAATTAGAGACCAGACAGTTGCCCCGGCCCCGGCCCTGCCGCCGCTATCCATTCAGTTCGCTGCTATTCTCATGGGTCACATGAGACAGCTAAGGAGTTTGATGCTCACTTATACTTCAACAAACCAGATATAGATGCCTGGGAATTGCATAAAGGGATGAACACACTTGTTGGCTATGATCTGGTTCCAGAACCAAAAATCATTGATGCTGCTTTGAGGGCATGCAGACGGTTAAATGATTTTGCTAGTGCAGTTCACGTCCTAGAGGTTGTTAAGGACAAAGCAGGACCTCATAAGGAAATCTACCCCTATGTCATCCAGGAACTTAGACCAACTTTAAATGAATTGGGAATCTCCACTCCAGAAGAACTGGGCCTTGACAAAGTGTAAACCCCATGGATGTGCTTCCCAAGGATTTATTGGTATTGCTACTTGATTGTAAACAGTTACCTGGAAATACAAATGATAATATATTACCTTATTTGAACAAGTTTTCCTTTATTGAGTACCAAGCTATGTAATGGTAATTTGGACTTTAATAAAAGGGAAATGAGTTTGAACTGGAAAAAAAAAAAATTAAAGACCAGAGCAGAAAGAGAAAAGCGTCCAGATTCTTCTTCTAAATGTATCTGCTTTTATACACATATATTTCTTTAACAAGAATGTTTAATCTTACTTTCTCTTTATGCAATCTGAAATCTGGGTGAACAGGCAAACTCAAATAGGCACTTATATTCAAGATGGGAGGCTTCCAAGTTGATTTTTAAAAATTTCTGCACTTGGCTGCCTGCACTTGACTCTGGAGAAAATAGCAAAATAATTTACAAAAGAAGCAGAAAAGCTTCTTCTGGTATACTACACAGTCCAATTTAAAATGTAGTCAATTCTGAATTTTAAAAATGTAGTACATATACACAATGGAATATTACACAGCCATAAATAAGGACAAAATTATGAACTTTGCAGGAACTTAGATGGACTTAAGAGTCTATGATACTGAGTGATCTATCACAGAACAAAGAACTGAGTACCACATATTCTCACTCAGAAGTGGACCTTGAACAATTATCATAATACTACAAGAAAGGGATTGACAGTAGTAAGAAACTACCTGGTGGAGGGGGGCACACTTCATCAACAAGGGTACCTTCATAATGAACATCTGTATATCTAATCCTGAATTGTAATCCACATCTTTAAAATAAAAAATATATATAAAATAAAATAAAATGTAGTCAATTACTAAAATAGGATAAAATTCTAAACTTTAAGGTGACCCAATGGAAAGTTGTTGGATATACAAATTTTACTTTTGTATACAAAAGTTTGCAAGTGTCTAACAGGGAGTACAAAGATGTCCTCTGAGGTACTGGTTATGTGATGTGTTCAATTTGCAAAAATTTCCTGAGTGTGCACTCATGATTTGTACAAAATTTCTCTTTGTGTATTACACATCAATTAAAAATGGTTCCATTGTTTTTGTTTTTAGTTTGAAAGAAAAAAAAAATCAAGTTCAGGGAAATACAGAGACACTCAAACTCCTAAAAGGAAAGTTTAGAGTACTTTCACAAAATCGAAAATTAGTTGGTAAGACATTTCCAAGAATATTACTTATTTTAAATAAATATACAATAGGAATATACAAAAGGTGGTCAAAAGCTAACAAAATTAGAAATTATTGTATTTGCCAAAACCAAAATTTCATCTTTACTGTAGACATTAAAACTCAGTGTCATCCTTTAATCTGTATTCTAATCATAGCTTTATCTCACATATGGTCTTCATTTACGCACACCTGGAAAGTTTTATATTTGCTCTTTTGCAATTTCAAACACTGATGCCTAAGGCAAGTACTCATAAAACTCTAAACACTGCACTTGCCTCTTTCAGCTCTAAGTAAAGAATAATAATTGGATGCTTTTACTCCTCAAAAACAATGAATAATCTGAAGTTGCATTTAATCAATATTTATGAAACAATCCAAGTTATATTTAAAAGCACTTATCTTTCCCTTGACCCATTTTGCTGTTCTTTTCTCACTTTTTTTGAATTTCACAGTTATTTTCAAACATAAAACAACTTTCTCCAAGTGTTCACCCTTATTCTTTTTTTAAAAAATTTTTAGTTTTAAAGGTGTGGGTTACAATTCAGGGTTAGGTATACAAATGTTCATTATGCAGGTACCCTTGCTAACGAGATGTCCCTCTTCTTCCGCAGCAGTTTCCCATTACTGCCAATCCCTTTCCTATAGTATTATGATAATTGTTCAAGGTCGGCTTATGGGTGAGAACATATTGCACTCTGTTCTTTGTTTCTGTGATAGATCATTGAGTATGATAGACTCTAAAGTCATTCAAGTTGCTGCAGAGACCATATGTTTGTCCTTCTTTATGGCTGCATAATATTCCATCATGCATATGTACTACATTTTTTTAATCCAGTCCAGTTTTGATGGGCATCATGGTTGGTTCCATATGTTTGCTATTGTGAAATAGTGCTGCTGTAAACATGAGTGTGCAGGTATCTTTTTTGTAGAATGTTTTGAGTTCCTCCGGGTATATTCCCAATAGGGAAATTGTTGGATCTTATGGAAGGTCAATTTCTAGATTGTTCAAAAATCACCACATTGTTTTCCAAAGAGGTTGCACTAGTTTGCATTCCCAGCAGCAGTGTAGAAGCATTCCTTTTTCTCCACATTCTAGCCAGAATCTGTTGTTGTTTGTTTTATTAATGATGGCCATTCTTACTTTTGAATATTTTCCATTTACTAATACATTTTTGGTTATTTTTTTCCTACTTATTCAGTGTTGATTTTTTTAAAGATGTGGTGTACAGTTCAGGATTAGGTACATAAGTGGTCAACACACAGGTGAAGTTTGGGCCCCCCATTGGTCCTCACTTCACCTGGTTTAGGATCAGGTACCCTTATTGATGTTATGTGTCCCAAACACCACCCCCCTCCCCCCACTGCCCAGCAGTGTCCTGCGACTGCCAATTCCTTTCTACTAAAACATTCTTTTAGATCTTAATCCACTTGAAATTTTGGATTTTCATATCACAAGTAATTATATAAGAGGAAGGTTCGTCTCCATTCTATCTCTGACCACTAACGGATACCATGGATTTTCCTTAGACATGCAAGATTGATGAATATATGTTTTTTTGAAAACAAGATTTATTAAGATGACAGAAAAGCATTCACAGTGGGAGGGGACCCGAGGAGGTTGCCTGATGATGAATATTTTAATTAGTAGTTACTTCTCTGACTGTGTAGAAGCTATGAAACTCTCGGTAAGAATTTGTCCCATAAGGATATATCATCACTCTTAGAGAACTTTTCAACAGTAACCTAGGACATAAATTATATAGATTTGCAATAGTCATTTAATTGGTAACAAAAGAAAAGAAAAAGAAAAAGCAGAATTTATGTACTATGGAGAATTAGTTTTCAACACCCATTATTTTCTTCATGAATGAAATCTTACAATTTTTAGAGGAAAAAAAAATCCCTGAGTATTTGCTAATATTACTGTTTATTTCAATAGTTGCTTCAGATAAGATTATACAATTCTTTATTCACTTTGTGAAACCAGTTACTCATGGTCACTCAATTTCTTTCATATTAGATCCTAACAGAGACATGACCAGGCCTATTGTTCTCAAAAGTTAAAATACCCCATGAGCCACTGCATTCTTGCCAAAATATGCCCAGGTCATAGGAACAAACTCACCAATATGACCAAAGCTTTCGGGAAGGGGAATGGAAACCCGAGTTTTAATCTGATCTTTGGAACTAACTAGATGAGAAAAACTTAGCCAATTATTCTATCTTGAGTCTCTGCCTTAGATATAATTTTTAAAATAAATGATAAGTTGTCTAATCAGCCTTTCTGAAGATGTGTTTTAAAGCACTAAAATAGTTCTTTTAAAACTGAGACAATTCTGAGACCTGCATCTCCTTCTTCAAGGTTCACAAGGAATACGAACACAGTACAGTTTCTGAGAAGTCCAGAAGTTCTGCTTGACTTTGTCCAACCCACACAAAAAGTTTTACATTTTTTTTGTAACTTAACACCCCTTAACATCTGTGGAAACTGCATTGAGAAATGCTGTCCTGGTGATTTTTGAATGATGCTCTGCAGAATCCTCTTAGGAATTACTTGGAAAACATAGTAAGGCATGGGGAGCCAGGAGACAGAAAGAAAGTAGTCAGCAGGCAGGATATTGGGATATTGGGATATTGGGGTCCCAAGTCCCACTCCAACATTTCTATTTTGGGACCTTAAAATATACTATCCTATTACATAATAGATTATTTTGCTTAATTTAATAGATTTAATAGAATCTTTAATCTTTTTGCTTTGAGATCACCAAATATAAATTCTAAAATTCTCCAACTTAGAAAAGATTTATTTCTAGTGTGAAATGTCATGTTGAGCTTACTATGGGATTGTACGGAAAGGGTCCCCTGTATTTCCAAGACAGAATAGTAGACGGAATTATTGTTCATGATTATTCATTTCTGCCCAACCCTTACTGTGCTTCCTGGAGGCAGAATTTACTTCCCTGCCCCACTGATTTGAGCTGGGCTTTGTGACCTGCTTAGCTCAATGGGATGTGAGTGTCTAATGTGCTTTTGTGGTTGATTCCTGTCCCCCTTGACCTCTCTTCACCATGGAAACAGCACGCCCCAACTAGTGGGCACTTATCAACCAAGGTCCAGGAATTAGAAGACACATGAAGCACAGCTGAGACCAACAAAGCTACAGCAAAGCTACGTCAACCCACAGTCCTCTTGTAACATGAGCAAGGGATTCATATTTATTATCGTAGATCTCAGAAATTTAGGGGTTCTTTGTTGATACAAGAAAAACTGATGGCTACAATTCTAAATCAAGTGTCTACAATATTATTCATGAATAGCTTTAAACTAGACACTAAGGGCCAGGTGGAAGGTGGTTCATCCCAGTTATCCCAGTACTTTGGGAAGTCAAGGTGAAAGGATCACTGAGGCCAGAGGTTCAAGACCAGCCTGTACAACACGGTGAGACTCCATCTCTTCCAAAACAAACAAACAAAAAACTAGACAATAATGTCTAAGAGAGAAGATGCTGAATTTGTAAATTTCTTAATGGTTTTACAATTAATTGAATAACTTTTATAAAGTTCAATAATACTATTATTCCTCTTTCCATACCCAGATCCCATTATTCTCCCTCCAAGGGAGGTAAATGCTTTACCCTCTGTGATTCATAGGACAATTAGAAGTTAACAACAATGACAATAAAATTCACGGTATGTAATTTTCCAGCAGAGGAATTAAAGAAGACAAACACAAATGGAAAGACATTGCATGTTCATGATTTGAAAGACTCAATAATCTTTAGATCCAAAGGGATCTAAAGATTTTATGCAATTTCTATTAAAATCGCAATGACATTTTTTATAGAAATAGAAAAAACAATTCTAAACTTCAGAAGGAACCACAAAAGACCCTGAATGTCCAAATTAATCTCAAGAGAGAACAAAGTTTGAGGTACAATACTTTTTAATTTCCAACATATTTCAAACCTACA